ACTTTATCGTTGCAAGTCGAGAAACACAAAAAAAAATGTATATTAATGTTTGAGGGAGTGATGGCGCAGATGATAAATTAGTATCCTGTCATATGTTCGATAATCTCGTGGAACCCTTCCCTGTGCACTTTTATAAACCGTCAATGTAACTTGGCGTGTATGTATATCCGAGCATTCCTGTATCTGGGAGGAGCGGAAGGCGCGTTATCGGCCTTTACGACAGATAAAACTATACCATTTGATACGCGGCGAACGCACACTTGGCACAGTGAGATTTGTTAGAAAAGGTGTGACTATGTTTATAATATAAATCGCCGCGCGGTATCGCCGCACGGGGTTTCACCCTTTCGCAATCGAGAGAGAGAGAGAGAAAGAGAGAAAGAAAAATGCTGTTTGCGCACGGACAATATTTGTGCACTACTGCCTTCGCAAAAAGACACTGTTGATTCGATAATTGACACCAATTAAATTGCGCTTATCTCTCGCGATCTCGCAGAAAAAAAATTCAAGAAAGAGAGAAAAGGAAATTATCGCTCCTTGATTTCGATAAGTCTATAAGACACACGTTGAAATATACGTGACTAAAAAAAAAAAAAAAAAGACAAATAACGCGCGCTTGTTCGGTAGCAGGTAGTTTTCTTCTTCTCCCGCGGATCGTAACACGGAAGAAATTTGTAATAAAAAGACTCGAGAGACGACAAAAAATAAATTCGCTCACGTATCCTCCGATATATCGACGACGTTTCTTCGAATTCTGCGGAAACTCGATCGGAGCGCCGCGGGCTGAGTCATAAAAAACACTTAACAATTGAAGAGACCGAAGGTCTCTTAAACTGAAGAAATTGAAGTACACGCGGGAAAGAGAGAGAAAGAGAGAGAGAGAAAAGAGAGAGAGGTAGGAGGTTCCGTCGATAAACGATTATTCAATTCGCAACGGCATTCCAATCTCATACCAAAACTGGCTGCTCCGGTCGGAGGGTTGCTTCTTCCTTTGCGATTCACAAAATCAATTAAAGGTCGTTAACCATTACGCGGAACGCCCGTGCTTTTTTCAATCGCCTTTGTTTCATGCGTGCCGTCGGTGTAAACGCATCAAATCCCAAACTCACATTGACAAATTTGCAGAAGTAAAACACAACATATCGACATAAAAAAAAAATGTTCAAGGAGTGTTGTGTTTTCTCTACCGTTCCGTTGTTATATTTGCATTTCATTTCGAACGAATCGCGATCGACGACTTTCTGGAGTGAACGCAGGTAAGAATGTTTTTCGACGTAGCCAGATAGTTTTTCCTTTCTGGTTAGAAAAAGAAAGCGAAAACCGACCGGACGCGCGCGCGCGACGGCGGTCAAAATTCTAGAGTAAATTCCACACACGAAGGTATCGGATTTTTTAAAAAACCCTCGCAGCGGAACGTATACGCGCAGGAACGCATTGTGGTTTTTTGTCGGTGTTCCGCAAAGGGAACCAGAGAGAAGAATTAAAATTCGAACATGAAGTTTCGTCTGAGGATGAAGCGCGCGGCAATAATGAAGAGCGGTAGGCCCGTCTCTCCTCGAAGGTAGGCCCGAATCAGATCCGACAGGTATTCCGACCTGACACCTTCGGATCATTAAAAGGCTTCTTTCGGCAGGTAACACTTCTTCGCGATGTAAGACATTCCGATTGAACTTCAGCAGATATCGTATATATTTTGACGAACATGTAAATATTGCGTGTTTACGAGAGAATGGTTTTATCTGCGGACGTAAAGACGTACGTTGAAAATTTGCATTTACACAAATCTGTGACTCGAACATCCCTCGAACGAAGAGAACAGACGGTAGCTCAGAACGAGAGAACGTATAATCCCACGGTTTAATGTTGTTTACAAAACCGCATTAATAGTAGTAAATGAGGAATAACTTCACGTAATATCGGATATCGGATATGTATTCGCGCGCGCGAATCGAATATTCGCGGCACGTATTCGGACGCGACAATTCGGTCTTTCACGGGAATATTTACGTGCGTCGGGAGGTGCATTCGGCGAAGAAGTCGCAATTATATAGCCGCGCAAAACCAAGTCAGTTTCCATTTTCGAGAAACATAATCGCGATCGGTCGAAGTTGTGACCAAATACAGAGATTTGTTTTCCGCAAGGGAAACAATGTATTTTTCACATGAAGAAATTTCTCGTTGTGTGTGAACATTTGAAAGAGCGAGAGTTCACAAGAAAAAGAAAAAGAAAAAGAGAGAGAGAGAGAGAGAGAGAGAGAGAGAGAGACCTCAGGTGAGAGATGCGCCACCTTGAAAAAAAACTGCCGATCATCGGCGGCGAGCTACCGATACTTGTGGACGGGAGTGTACGTATCGGAAATATCGGAACAATGTGTCGAATTGGCGCGCGTCTATCCGTCGAGAGATGCATCGTTGTGTCTTCGACGACGTTCTTCGGCGACAAAGAGACAATGTATCGCGTAACACTCGAACTCGTCGGAATAAAGGGGAGTTTGAAGTACGCTATTTCCGGTTCTTTCTCACCGGCATGAACGCGGTGCGCGCGATACACTCTCGAACAGAAATAACATCCTCCTTTGGCCTGCGTTTCTCTCTCTCTCTCTCTCTTTCTTTCTTTTTTTTTTTTAGAGTGCGCTATGTGCGCAGACGATAGCGCAAAGTTCATCATACAATACACGGACATTCCGTGGTGAGAGAGGCTGGCGCCACGTCAAGACGCTTTTAAACCAGACGCGACACTGACCTCCTACTCACTTATGCAATCGAGCACGCTCATCGAACGATTGCAACGTGGGACGTGCGCGGTCACAAATACGAAATGTGAAACATCTTTTAAATCCTATCGCGGAAGATATTTAACTATAATAGAGCGAGTGAGAGAGAGAGAGAACGCGCGAGAGAACAAACGATATATTGCATATTTTTAAAACGTGACGCGAGATTGCCTTTTGCCTTGCGCCTTCTCGTTATCAATTCAGTTTTGTACATACTTGGAGTATAGACTCACGCATGCAGAACGAGGAGAACTTTTCTCGTTCGACGGAGAGAGATAACGACACACAACCGAGAAAGTGTATTCGTGAATAGTCAGACGAAGAAGAAGAAGAAGAAGAAGAAGAAGAGGAGAAGGAGGAGGAGGAGAAGGAGAGAGGAACGCGGGCTCGTCAGGCGTATCGTAAAAGGTGGGTAAGCACCGACTGGAACATTCATGCTCTAGTGAAATTAAATACTAGCGAGAGAGGAGAATACACAGGGCCGCCTCGAGCGGCGAGTTTGAACCGCTCGAAGGCAAGTGGCGTGTGTATCCATTGACGGAGGCTCTTTTTAGCGGCATAAATTTTCTATAAAACGCGCGAGAACCGCCGCGTGCGTGCGCGCGCGCAAAGGCAACGCACGGCGGCGATTTTACAATTTTTACAACAAACAAACAAACGAATAACGCACGGGCGTTATCTATTTGCTTCGTTCTCGCTATCTCTCTCTCTCTCTCTCTCTCTCTCTCTGGCTGAGCGTTCGCTCAGTCAGTGCGTGTATTCACCTTTACGCACGCACGCGGCGGGTATCCTAAGTTATACGCACGGCACATCCGGTCGCGCCGGAGAGTCGTCGTAACCGGCCGCGCAGTCCCGTAATAATGCGTATCGTCCCGTACGCATTGTGTAGTAAAAAAAACGTACGCGTAAATAAGGCAAAACTCTCTCCCCACAAAGGGAGATTTCGCGCGCGCATCCCAAGGACGTTCTAACTTCTGCGCTCGGGCGCAGACTTCCTCGCATTCTCTACCGCTCCGCTTTCTCGTTTTTTTTTCTCTCTCTCTCTTTTTTTTTTTTTTTTCACTCTCGCTTCGTACTCTCGCGACCGATCGCGTCGAATCATTCTTCTCCTTCCTTCGCATGCGCGCGGAGAATTCTTATTCGACAGTTGAAACACAACGTGTAACAGATTAAGAGTGCAAACAAAAATTTATAACAACAATTCGAACTACGAATGTCGTTTTTTTCTTTTTTTAGAAGAGAGCGAGAGAGAAAAATTTATTACATAATTTATACGAATAACATAATCTTTTAGAGTTTCTATGAGATCATTTCTGTTTCTCATAATAACGGATATTGTGTTCTGCAAGACCTGGAAACGCGAGCACCGAATAGATTGTTTCGTCTCTCCCTTTTGTTTCCGGCATATAAACGATATAGATGCTTGTTTCCCGCTTCATGTTTCCGTGAAATATTGCTTATCTTTAATTTCCATCATCACCTATCGCCTTCATGAAAGTGAAAGAATTTTAAATTTCTTGAAATTTTGTCGATCAAGAAAGACGTCCCCGTCACATTTTTAAACTTTTTTCTTTAATCACACTTTGTGCCAGAAAAAAAAAAGAAGAACACACACGTCATTGATTAATAAAAGTTTCTCTCTTGTTATTCCACATTCTAAATTTTATCACAGAAAAGAATTTATAACTCTAATTAATAAAGAATTTATAACTCTAATTAATATTTTAATTGACAGGTAGACACTCGTTCGAGCTAATTTTTAGAGCGTCTTACGTGGGAGCGTCTTAAAAAATTGTTCCGTAATCTCGTACAGAATTAAACGCGCGCTCAATGGAGAATCAAAAAATTCATCTGTCTCTGAAAAGTTTGTTTTAAGAATTTAATGATTCTGAACACAGAGGGCGAAACTGTTAGAAACGTTTGACGTTAGAGATGATTACACGTACGAGAAAACAGCAACATGCATTTAAATTTGCAGAGTGACACTAACTATCGGATTGCTCTTATTTATCGTTAGTTGATAAATTTGATTCGTTTTTAACATTGAAATCTTATTGGTTCGCTGCGGATGTGTGTTTTGATACACATGCGTACACTGGTAACGTTTCATCTTATCTCACGAGCGTTTAACGTTCCGCAGGGACCGAGATATCTCTTGTGATTCAAGCGAGATGTCGATTTTTCATAACGTCACTGTTAATTGCGCTTATAGTTTGTGTGTGTTAACTTTCTAATTTCGACATTTTTGTTAAAAATGATCGTTGTAGCCTATTTCACATTCTACGAGTTTGTTTTTGAACGAGCGCCTCACATTTGGTTCCACATCATCTTTTTTTGACTTTTTGAGAAATTAAATAAACATTGAACGAGATTAAATAATCGCGAAAACTTGGAGTTTTGGAAGTCGTGACAAAATTTTGAACTTGGTAAGTTAATGTGTAAAAAATTAATTTTACTTACGAGAGCAGTCAAACGTACTCTCGAAAATTAAAAAAAAAACTCATTAGGCGTTTTAAATTCCTTTCATTCCTCAAAACTATTGTAGATATCATTATCTAAATATAGACGTGTGAGTCATGTTTAGAACATCGCTACGGGTTTTTTCTTTTTCTCTTTTTTTGTTTTCTGTGCTCGGTTTTTGAGAAAATATTTATATCAGATTTTCTAAGTTTATCTTTAAAAGCTCTTCTGCGGTTTTATCAGAGTTCTCACGATATCTCATAATAGAGCAACGGACAAGAGGGAACGAGTTTGTAGAAAGCCGGGGCCGGACAGGTTCGTCGGCGAAGAACCAACGTGAAAGACCTCCGGTGTCTTGGATGAACGAACGAAAGCGAATGGGACCGAAGTCGACCGAACCGTTTTGCTCGTTCAGTGACGGATTGTGTGTGAACGAGGCCCTAAGGCCGGCAAATCTGAGAGATAAAGTTGTTGCACACAAAATTTGCAACAACTTTATCTCTCGTGCACGACTGCTATAATTCAATTGTAACAACTGACTTTTTTTAAATTGGAAACAATTACACACTAAAAAGCATACAACAATCGAGACAATACGTTTGAGTTTTTCTACAACTGAAATATTCTCCGTGTTTTTTATCGTATGGTCGACAAAATTTTTATCTCTGTCCTTTCCCTATCGCCAACGATTGTAGGATAGATATCGAGATTGAAGAGAGAGAAAAATTCGGTTTCGAAAGTAGAGAGATTCGATTGCACAGGTCGGTCTTCTTCGATTAACTTAATCGACCAATCACTCCATTGGAATTGACTAATCATATCAGCTAGTCGTTTAACAGAATCGATTAATCACCACGAGACTTGACGCTTAAAATCGGCTGCCGACTATAGTTCTCAAACGCGCGCGGTGTGAGCCGATCCTGTATATATAATACATGTATCTACAAGAATGTGATCGCGCGCATCGAGTACACGTTTTTTTTTTTTTTTAGCGTGTACGTGATTATCGTCGCTTTTAGATGTCAAAGACCATGCAGGCTGCATGTTTTTTTTTTTTTTTTTTTTTACACACGATACAGACCTCTGTTTTCCCCACTGTGTCCAAATCGACGAACAGTCGACTAAACTGGCGCCACGAGCCGTGCCGTTTCCGCTGGCGCCGCGGTAGCCGAGGGACTGCTCCGGCGTGGATCACGTGACCCGTTTGGCGCCGCGCTGGTGGGGATGGGGACCTCTGCGAGCCGGGCGCACGAGCGCGCTCGCCGGCATTCTGACCTGATAAGTCACCGGTGTCGGATCGCGTGAGAAAGTAGAGAGGGATTTTACGCGTTTCTCTCCGCAGAGACATTTAAACCCGGCAGACACGAACTTTGGAACCCCCCTGATCCACGGTAGAAAAGAAAAAAAAGGACTAAGTTCACGCTCGTCAAGTTTTCTACAACGGATCTACCGTAATTTTTTCTCTCTCCGCATCGTTTGTCTGCCTTCCATTCTCTCTCTTTTTCTCTCTCTCTCTCTCTCTCTCTCCCTATTTCTCTCTGTCTTTTCTCATGACTCTCCCGAGAACGAACTAGTCGCTTCTTACTCTTCGACAAACGCGAATCGCAAGTGGTATCCGAGCACGGGAAAAACACACACTCTATTTATTCAAATTCTCCTCCGATGTTCCGCCGAACGTGACGCGTTATTTATTACCGTTCTTGTGCTTTAATTCACGGAACACGTGTGAAAACAAAGTATATATACATATATATATATATATATATATATACATATTCTCGAAGAGGAAAGAAGAAGGAGAGTTTTGCCGATCCGCGAAAGAAGGAAGAGAGTTTCCGTTCCCGGAAAGAGATGAAGAAGAATGTGCTGTAGTACATGAAGAAAGAGAGACGATCGAACGAAAAACGAACAAACGCGGCTTTTTTGCAATCGTCTCGATTGCGGTTTCTCCGGGTTTGTCTACTCTTGGCTATAAAACCGTGCGCACAAAACGTGCGTGTACGCGCCAACACGCACGTTTTTTCATGCTAAGAAAAGTCATCGTCGTCTCGTCGTCGCGCGAGGTGAGTGATTATTATAGCCCGTCTCTCGGTCTCGTTGTGAAGAAAAAGTGCTAAGTGCCTCCTCCGCGTTCTACGAGCTCTTTTGTCTCTCTGTTTCTCTCTTTTTTTTTCTCTCTCTCTCTCTCTCTCTCTCTCCCTCTTTCTCCTTCTCTCTCGCCGGGATTCAACACGATCTCGAGACTTCTCCGAGAGTGAGACCAACTCGCACGATATACGCTCGGAAACGTCGTGTCTTCCCGACGTGGTGAGAAAAACAGCAGAGGAAGAGGATCGAAGAAAGAAACAAAAAAAAAAACAAAAAATAACGTTCTTCGACGCGAGAAAAATTCTCTCCGCCGATCGTCATGGATCTCCTGTGTTGCGAGACCACGGAAGGCGAGTGTCAGACTTACACCGATCCGGCGATTCTCGACGACGATCGGGTGCTGCAGAACCTCCTGCAGACCGAGGAACGCTACGCGCCCAGCACCTCCTACTTCGAATGCGTGCAGAGGGACATCTCGCCGTTCATGCGCAAGATCGTCGCCGAATGGATGTTAGAGGTAAGCGGCCGTTTCCGGTCCACGTGTCTCTCTCGGCGTCTCGGTTTTAAATATATATACATGGGTATGTACGTGTGTAGCATACACACGCCATATGTACATGTACGTATGTGTGTGTGTGTGCGTGTGTGCACACTCTCTATTACATTACCGATGTTTTCGATACGAATAGTACGGTGTTTAGAAAAAAAAAAAAAAGAAGAGAGAGAAAGAGAGAGACTTCTCTCTTTTCCGGTCTTGCTCGCCTTTCTCACGCCGGTTTTCATTGGAGTAAGCATTCCGACGTAGTGTAGAGTTCGCTGATATCAATCTTTCGCGAGATGGCTGTTGTCGAACGTGGCGGAGTCGGCGGGGGGAACTTGTTGCATTCCTTTGTCACGAGAACGCATTTGCGCAACGAAGACCCAAATATACAATATATGTACATATATATATATATATACATATATGTATACATATATGTATCTACTCGTGTAAACTTCTGTTGACGCATGCAAGATAAAATAAGCTGGCGTCTTCGTATTACGCATTCACACGTCTCTCTCTCCTCTCTCTCTCTCTCTCTCTTTCTCGCGCGCGCGCGCACTCGATTGATAAATTGTTAAAATATTTTCTCGAAAATTTGCTCTTCCGAATTTAATTTGTTAACAATAAAAAATCCTCGGACGAGAGAAATAAAACGGAAAAGAAGCGACATTTTAAATCCATTGACGACTATCGCATCGTAAGAACGTAATGATTTTGACACTCGGCTGTCATTGAGTAAGAAATTCGGGCCGCCGTCGAGATAAGCCTTATGTCACTGTATGTACATGTCTCCAAAGTTACCGATAAGAGTGAATTGTACACGTCGCAAGTGACATATATAGACACACACACGTACGTATATATATATATATATATATATATATATATTGTGCGGCGACAACACACTCTTG